GTGTACACGTCGGTGCTGCGCTGCTGCGAGACGCGTCTCGGCGCTAACCTCGACGCGCGACCGCGACCGCGACACTGCGAGAGCGACGACGTGGGATGCGACCGCCCCCGCCGCGGACAGTGCTTGCCGCCGATCGCCGCTCCGGCCACGCGTGATGCCGCTTTCGAGCTGTCGGCCGACGGAGAAACGGAGGAGGCCACGAGGTCGCGCGGCCCGCGACGCGACGATGACACGCTCTGACCGAGTCGCACCCGGGTCTCGTCTCGACGTCGGTTTCACGCGCGGCAGGTACTGTTCTTGGGACACGTTTTATCGTCCTTTCTGGCCCTCGTCCTTCGGATTAAGAGAGCGAACACCTGGCGAGGAACGTCGGATGAGAAACTTGTTTTTGTCGTACGCAGAATGAGGCGAGACTCGTTTCGTGTAATTACTCTAGGGCCAGGTCGACAATGAGTCGTTAGTCAGAAGTCGGAACTACGTGTCGGTCCACATTTCTTCCAGCCAGAGAGGAAAAGGATCAACGTGCGGTTTCGACTTCTGACCAACGACTAACAACTCGTCGTTTGAGACCAGGCCTAATGTTTGTGCAATGTCGCTCGCAGAAATCCGAGAAAGTGCTAGATGGAAGTATCCAGTTTTCGCCAGACAGATACGTAGCAATTCCGTGAACATGGTGGGGAATACTTACGAGGTACTTCCGTTGTACAACGGAACTGGAAGGGAGATGTGCCAGTGGTTGGCACACATCAAGTTGTCACGGATAATCATTTTGACGTCTACGGTCTTGTTTATCGTGCCATTATTCACGCATTACTATTTGTCCAAGGTAACGGCTGAAGAGGAGAGTGAATACGAGCCTTTGAAATTACCGCTCCAGGATGCGTTGCGCTAACTCTGAGTTTACTTGCAGGTAGAATCTGACACGCCAGATAGGGATATGTACAGAACGTTCTCGACCCTGGAGGCTTTTGAGGATTTCACATCCATGAAGGCGTCGCAGCTGAAGATGAGGATAGAGGAGATGTTCCGCATAAAAATCTCAGTGAGCAACGAACTGAGAGACCTGAGCGCCAAGAGGCAGAGACTTCAGGGCGAGGTCAACAGCTTGACCCAGAAGATAGACGAGCTGAAGCAGGAGTTACTGCATCAGCAAACGGATCTTGACAGGCTGAAGATAAGTGTGGAGCAGGCGCAGGTGGCGCAGAAGGAGGCGGTGGAAAGAAACACGCCTGAGTTGGCACCGCCTAAGAGAATACTGATTAATAGCCTGCCAGTTGTACTGCCCAGCACAGATCCGCGATCGTGTAGAATGCACAATTGTTTCGATCACAGCCGGTGTGCATTGACAAGCGGTTTTCCCGTATACCTGTACGATCCCGACAAATTCTCGGTAGTCGATCCAGGATGGGATGTAGAGGGTTTCTTAAAGACTACTATTAAACAGACACTAGGTACGTAGTAAAGATGTATAAGTAAACTGTATATTATTACATAAAATAAGCGAGACCTTGTACTTTAAGAGACATTTTTCCGTGACAATTTGTTATATACAAGACACTGATTGTAGGATACAATCCGCATCTTACTAGGAATCCAGCGGAGGCATGCGTTTACATAGTCTTAGTTGGTGAAGCGTTGAACCCACGTCAAAAGAATGATCAACGTTACAGCAAACCTTTAGATATAAAGAAATTACACGCACTGCCCTATTGGGGCGGAGACGGTAGAAATCACATACTGTTAAATCTCGCACGTAGAGATTTGTCTGCGGATTCTGGAAATATCTTCAGCAATCTGGATATTGGCAGAGCAATAGTAGTACAGTCCACGTTTTATAGAAATCAATTTCGGGACGGCTTCGACTTGATTATTCCGCCAATACTGGGAACACCTGGCGGGGACGTTTGGCAAGAATGCGCACAAATGTTACCCGCGAGGAGGAAATATTTGCTGTCGTTCCAAGGAGAGATGAAAACTTTTGTAGGCACGCCGATGACATATCAAATTGACGACGCCGATATGGATATGGAAAAATTGATAATCGACGATAACAATATAGACGCATTCATTATCCAACATCTTAAAGATATGAGCGGCGGAATAACCTTGGACAAATTTTTCATTCAGTTTGAATGTATACCAGCCTCGGTGGAGAACAAGCCTGTGGAAACTCTCGATTGGTCACTCTGCGGAACTGATTCGTCCAGAAGAGCCATATTAAAGGAATCGACATTTGCGTTAATCTTAGCGCCCAGTAACGCCACATTATTGACTACTTCGTTCATGCAAGCAAGATTGTACGAAGCATTGCGAGCTGGGTCAATACCCGTTATTCTCGGTGGTGATCAGATTTTGCTTAACTATAACGAAGTTGTTACTTGGAGGAGAGCAGTTATTTTCTTACCCAAGGTAATGTTTAATAGTAACGTATTACCACATTTGTCTTTGATTATTGAAATGGAGCTGACAATGTAACTGTAGGCCAGAGTGACTGAGATGCACTTTTTATTGCGTGCCGTTCCTGACAACGATCTTTTGACTATGCGGAGACAAGGTAGATTAATATGGGAGCGTTATATGAGTACTGCTCAAAGTGTAGTAGATACAATTGTAGCAGTAGTAAGAGACAGACTTGGTATACCTCCGTTGCCAGCGCCTCAAACATCCAGTCCTAGTGTTTTTAATGAAAGCTTTGTGGTACGTATTTAATGCGATTTAACGTGTTTAATATGTTTTAAAATATGTGATATATATTTAAAAGTGAAAAGTAAATTTGATTTTATAACTTATTGTTACCTTTTATTTTATAAAAGCCTTTAAAATCGGACACCATCATTGCTGAACCTGAAGCTGAAGAAAGTTTGGGACCTCTAGAACCGTCGTATCCATCTCCTGCTTTTAAGAGAAATTATACAACGCTATTAATCCAAGGTCATGAAATTTGGAACGATTGGATGGATCCATTTTATTTATATCCACAGTTACCTTTTGATACTGTTCTGCCAAGCGATGCTAAGTTTCTTGGTAAAGTCTTCAGAGTTTATTGTTACATGAGAATTACGTTATTTTTAATTCAATGTTTTATTCTGTTATAGGCTCAGAAGTTGGCTTTCGACCGATTGGTAAAGGTGCTGGGGGTGCTGGAAAAGAGTTTAGCGAGTCATTAGGAGGAAACTATCCAAGAGAACAATTTACAATTGTCATATTAACTTACGAGAGGGAACAGGTTCTTATAAATTCATTGGCGCGCCTTTATGGCTTGCCTTATCTAAACAAGGTACTTGTAGTATGGAATAGTCCGAAACCGCCCGTGGATGATCTCAAGTGGCCTGATATTGGCGTTCCTATACATGTAATTTTCATTTATTATCCTCTAAAATCTCCATCCATTTTTCAACATTACATTAAAATATATTTTCCAAATATATCTGGGCAGGTTATAAAAGCTCCAAAAAATAGTTTGAATAATCGATTCCTTCCATTTGACGCAATCGAGACAGAGGCTGTTCTTTCTATTGATGATGACGCCCATTTAAGACATGACGAAATCATGTTTGGTTTCAGGTAAGCTGATTTTTCACATTCTTTTCATTCATTAATAACTTTTGTTATTTATTATATATTACTTTAGAGTGTGGAGAGAACATCGAGATCGTGTGGTTGGATTCCCTGGTCGCTTTCATGCATGGGACCAGAATTACCATAACGCTTGGAATTACAATTCTAATTACTCTTGCGAGCTATCCATGGTTTTAACCGGGGCTGCTTTTATCCACAAACATTATACATATCTGTATACGCATTGGTTGCCACAGGCAATAAGGGATAAAGTTGATGAGTACATGAACTGTGAGGACATTGCAATGAACTTTCTAATATCCCATCTTACAAGAAAACCACCAGTGAAAGTAAGACATATATTCTAATAAAGAAGATAATCATTTAACATTACTTTATCTTATTCATAAGTTTAAGAAATTTTTAGTTTCTTGATTTAGGCTTTATAAGAATTTTGCAATTATGTAACATTTCTGTCTGTATTCTAATTATATGATATTAAACTAAACTGTGAAAATTTATGTTAATATTTTGGGATTCAATTATATTAATCTCAAATGTATGATTCAATTACATTAAAACACTTATTTGTATATTAGGTAACATCACGTTGGACATTTAGATGTCCAGGTTGTCCAGTTTCACTGTCAGAGGATGATACTCATTTTCAGGAGAGACATAAATGCATTAATTTCTTTTCGCAGGTAAAAGAATTGAATTGCTTTTATATTTTGCATTACATTTTTCTAAATGATTATTATTATTATTCTTTAAGTAAATTCATCAATTGTACTTGATATAATCATTGGTTTCAGGTTTTCGGTTATATGCCTCTATTGAATACTCAGTATCGAGCTGATTCAATATTATTCAAGACAAGAATACCACATGATAAACAAAAATGTTTCAAGTTTATATGAAAAGGAAGTACATTTTAACTTTTTGTATAGATATTATAGGGTAAGATTTGTACGACTTTGATACAATTTTATGCAGTTCATAACTTAAGAATAATCAGGTAGGATATTTTACAGAATATACATGTACAGAAAAGGTAAGAAATGTAATTAAAACGAGTCAAAATGTGTAATTAAATTCTTAAAGTACATCAATGATTAAGAAAAGTAGATCAACGTTAGATGTTACTAATCTTTCTTTTAGTCTTTTTACGGCATTTAACGAGATAATAAGAAATTATCAAGATCATTCTATATAATATAATTTATTAGGTAAAGTGAATATGTAATTTTGTAAAAATGATTTTGCTTCAAATTTTTTTACCAAAATTGGTATTTAACAAAACATTTAACGTTCTAAGAAGATGGATATTTTGTAAATAGAATAATATTAGTATACTATACATATGTGGATATGTATGGTATATTATACATATGTACATTATCTCGTAAGTGCACTAAACTATAATTTACTTTAATATACTATATCCGTAATGTAGTATATCAATGAATTACTGCCTATTAGAATTACAATAATGTACATATCTGAGATAAAATTGATATAATTTTTAAACAAAGAACAAATTATATTTAATGTTTTTATAATTGAATTGAGTACAATGATTATTTATCATTATATTAAAATAGGTTAGCTTTATGTAATTCAAAGTTATAATTGAATTTTATTAATCAACGGATGAAGAAAACAAATATAATAACGTGCAACATTTGTTATTAAAGTATTATATTGATTTTCTTGGTTAATATCAATTTTTATTAAAAATATTAAAGACAAAGTTGATTTATTTACATATTTGAGTGGTTACATCCAAATTTCAATTTAAATTATGCAAAGATCACTTGCACATTTTTACGAATCTCTACATTTCTTTATAAAAACTTATGAATCTCTCTTCTTCAATAATCGACTGCTTTACAATGATAACATCACATTACAGATATTTGTTTGTATAATGTAATTACAGATAATATGTAATTATTTTTATTTTGTACATAACTATTTTTTAATTTACTTATACTTTTGGCCTTTTTCTTTTTCATTTTCCATTTCCAAAATACTAATATGTAAATTGTAAAATGGAAAACTATAGATCCGTTTTATATCTAGCATATAAAAGATAATATAATAATTTTTTATATATTATAATTTATTAGGACTCGATTACATTTTTTATACTTAAAAAACGATTGTGTGTAAAAATTGAATTGGTTAGAACAAAAAGGGTACACGTGACAATCATATATTTGAGAGAAACAAAAATTGTTTTGTAAGCATAATATGAATTTCGATAAGTTTTACACTATTGTGATTTGAAGAAAAGACCTCTTAAAGTAAGTTTTCATTTAAAAAACTTTTTAACCATATTGGTTTTATGCAAAGATCCATTGTTAACTCAATTTCGGTCAAAGTGTCCCGTTTCTGTTCTCGCTGGTTCAAATTATTTTTAGAATCATTTTAGGCAATTCTAAAGCTACATATGTAATTTGATAAATATTAAATATAGTTTGCTGATAAATATATAATTAAATGCGGTATGCATTTTATAGACTGCATATATATAGTTGATAGCATAAAATTTACCTTATTATCCTGCGAGATTAATAATGATGTTATACTTTGTCAAGAATGTTGCACAGAATATGTAGATAGTAAGCGGCCATATTTTTGGGATTTAAAATTTCGTACATCCTTGATGCATTAACATTGTCAAAATCCTATCTCAGGACTGAATAAAATTCAAGTTGTGGCGACGTGTACTCCTTTTCGTGATAAAAGGAATCAATTTTATAACAATCAAAACTGTTTTTAGGTTTCTATGTACATTCACATCTTTATTATATTCTAGTATATTTTTAGTAGTTCAATTTTTATGTAGTAGTTATATTGATTACACTTATTATTATCATTATATGTATTTTTTATGTAATTGATATGTGCCAAATTTTTAATAATTGTATTTATAATGTAATTAGATAATGTTTTTAGATACTAAAAGCACAAATTTGCAACTATACCTCTGCTATATATCGAATATTTCAAAGAAATTTATTAATTATTGTATAACTTCGTCAACGAATAGGACATTCAGTAATTGCTAAGTGACGAATTCTGTATAGCAAATTTGCGATGTAAAGGATTGTTATGTACATGCTCTGTGTTATTATTTTGTACATTGTGGCGTGCAAATCTATATTGGGTGTATCTTACCTATTCGCGCGTGATACGAATATCTGGTTAGGTGTTTTACGAGTAAAGGAATATGTCATTTATTCGACAGGTAAATTAATGATGAAAAAAGTATAAATTAAGGAGGAAACAACACAAAAGGTTGGTAAAAATAAACAATCAAAATACGTCTCATCTGGTGGGATTTATTTTATTTGAATTGTGCTTCGACATTCGCTGTTTCATTTTCTTAGAATATATTTTACACGAAAAATAATTATTTTCTAGTTTCCGCTCTTCTCCATCGTTTTCTTACAGGAAAGAACGTACTCTTGTTCCCCAAGTAGTAAGCGTCAACCTTATGCAGACGTTGTCTGACGCACAGTAGTAAATGTTTGCAGTAGTGGCCGCGTATGTATAGTCAGACGTGCGCTAGTGGTAGTATCGCGTTGCGCACGGCCAAATGTAGCGCATCGCGAACTTATATCGAACGACTACGTGAAATCGCATTAGCATACCGATCAACGATGACTCCAACATTACGTTATATATTTATAATCCACGCGCATGCAGCGAATTCGTAATTATAACGAATCGCGCATTAATTACGCATTGCGGATAAAGCGAGCGTACAATATCGGTCACGATGACACGCCAAAAAGGGGTCAGTCTTCCCCGCTTATTCGGCTTTGTTTTCCGAAATTTAGATAGATGTGTGCCATTAAGAATATTCTAGTTGAAAAACGAGTCTATTAAATGCCACGCAATTTTCTAATTTTAGTCAGCAATTTTCAAATTTTGTAACATAACAAGCGCGTTCGCAGCTAGCACCCTGGTAGCACAGTGCATTGACCAAACATTGGTTAAACATTGGCCCAACATTTGGTTGTGTCGGGCCAATGTTCGGCCGATGCGCTGTGCTACTAGCGTAGTTTCTTCGCGACACTTTGCTCGCACAAGGTTCGCTCGTATTGGCGTTTCATCGAAGTAGAAGAAAAAGGAGTTTTCGACGTAGATGTGTTGCAGAGACATACAGGGTAGCATGACGGATTTCCTATTCCTGCAGGCGCGCGTCTCATCAGAATTTGATTAATTTTCTGTCAAAATATAACTTTTGATAATCATTGTGATGTCAGTTTTACTTTATCGTGACTTCATGCTCCGCTCGGACAAATTTACTGATGTTACTTTTGCGCCGAAGCCTATGCAGTTGTAAACGGCCATGCGCGCCTGTACGAGTACGCAATACCCGTCATACTGCCCTGTACGTCTCTGCAACACCCTGTACGTCGAAAAAATGACCCGGCCGGTTGCCCGATGACGCGCTTCCGGCCATCAAAAGTCGCATCCCCGAACACGGTTTCCGGAAGATGATTTACCGGGGATTCCGCATAGAATCGTACGAGCGACCGCAATAAGCGTCCGTCGCGTGTGCTGCATTTTCCGGCGCTCCATTTTTCGACACGAAAGCGGGGAGTTACGTATATAGCGTTCCTTTGCCAGTTCTTAGATTTTTACGTCATAACGACGAGATTGTGCAGCGATGCGACGCGGAGCCAACGGGAAAACGAAAGGCCGACGTTTCACCGGCGAATCGTAAATCTCCCCGCGGCGAGAAATGACTCGTCGATCGATGTCGAATCGATCGACGAATCATTTTTCATTGGGACGCGACGCGGAGCCTACGGGAAATCGAGGGACCGACGTTTCTCCGGCGAATTGTAAATCTCCCCGGCGAGCAATGCCGAAACGACGTCGATCGGCATCGACGCCATTAAATTGACGTCGACTCGACGAGTCGTTTCTCGCCGGGTTAAGACTTTGCAGTTCGCCGGAGAAACGTCGGTCTTTCGTTTTCTCGTTTCTCACTAGGTCGCTTCCGCGCCCGCCGAGATGAAACTCCGCGGGACGTGCGCGAGCGGCGCGGCGGAGCTGGGAAACGTGTTTCAAAGTTCGAAAGCTTTTTCAATCCCTTCCCACCTTGTCTCTTCCATCTTAATTGTTTGTTTCTTTCTTTTTTTCAAGTGACTTGACGACTCGGCGACGGGGACCGGTTTCAAACGCGGCGCCACGTGGGTCGCGATCAAAGTCGGCGCCGGATTGGCCCGCGCGGCGATCAATACCGCACTTCCCGCGACGTAAGTCGCGTCCGGCGCGCCCATTGGTCAGAGCGTACGCCGCAATCCCATTACTTATTAAGTTCGCGCGAAAGTGCGACATTCGTCAGGCACCATCTGTCACCGGGGCGATCCGCGATCGCGGGACGGCGATTGTGATCGGCGGCGGCGGGGATTTATTACGATTGCATGAAACCGGGCGGGAATCGCCGCGCGCTTCGTGGTGTCTCACCACCGCCCTCCACCTCGCCCCCGGCGAGTTGCTCGTCACATACGCGAGGCCAGTTTGTGCGCGCCGGGTGTATATAGGGCGCCCCAAAGCAGCCCTGTGCCCTCTCCCCATTACGTATTCCTCGGGGAATCCGAGGTTCCAACTTTGACGCAACGAGAATGTCGTTGCGAGCTGGTTGCTTGAGCAGTTTCTCTCCATCTTCGGGATTAAATGTTGAGAAACTTTTTACAGAGTTCCGCGGGGACACGGTCTACCCAACAAGTACGGTAAAAGCGTCAAACTATACGTTACTACGCGCGCAATATGCGCTCCGGGCGCGCAAGAGTTCGCGAGGGGTTCGAGGGGTGAAAATGATCGACGGCGAGAAACGATCGTCATTTCTCCCGGCGCGGTTCTCGATCAACGACTCGAAGGGAGAAAGAGAGAGAGAGCGTGCGCGCGCGCGATTCCTGAGTCACCCTGTATCCGTCTGGCCGAGGGGCAGGGGGGCGGAGGAGCGAAGCTCGGTTCGCGCAACTGCGGTCGCGGACGAGCGCGATAAAGCAACAACCCACCCTGCGGGTAGGTAGAGGTCTCTCGGCGAGCGATACGCGCGACTACCGAGGAACGCGAGCTCGCGCGCCTTACGATGCCGACGTGACGATCCCGACAGGAAGTCGATTCGCGACCGGAAATTAGCCCCGTTCGCGTCCCGCCCATCCCGTGCCGCGGTCGCCGCGCGAGGGAAGGGTCGCGGGGGGCGGTGAGCGCGGATAGCGTGCGAGGCGCGGGAAAAAGAGAAGGAAGAGAGCGCGGGAGGGGCCGGAGAAAGAGCGAGAGGGGGGCGAGCAGTCAGGTGGCGGCGGACGGAGACGGGCGTAAAAGGCGCGAGGGGAAAGAGAGAGAGAGACGGCGAGCGGTGGTACCGCGAACGCTGCCGCGCGCGAGTCGACGTGGCCGCGAGACACCGGCGGAGAGGAAAGGAGAGAAGAGGAGCGAACGCATCGACGAGGGGGTGAAAGGGGCGCGCTTGGAAGCGCAACGTGAAAGTGAACGCCGGCGACGCAGCGCAGCGCAACGCAGCGCGACGCGACGCGACGCGACGGCGGCGACGCGAGGCGGCGGCGACGGCGACGACGGCGGCGGCGGCGGCGGCGAGTGCGCAGGCACCTGGCGCTGGCTCTCCCTCGCTCACCCTGCGTCGACGAGCGTCCGCGACCGTTCTCGCTCGCAAAGTTCCTCGCGGCTCGACGCGGAGCGCACGACGAGAGTGCCGTGCCGTGGCGTGCCGTGTCGTGACGTGCCGTGCCGTGCCGTGCCGGGAGGTGTACGGGGGTGGAATCTTCGTGACGAGGCGCGGGAGGATGCATGTTTAATCCCGCGACGACCGCGCAGCGGCCACATCTACGAGGGCGTTCTCGCATTGACGACGGCGACGGCGGCGGCGGCGGCGACGGCGGCAGCGGCGGCAACGACGAGGACGATGACGAGGACGAGCGCGACGTCAGCGAGGGTACTGCGATAAGAGCCAGAGCGGAGCGCGACCCTCGTCGCGATCGTCAGCTGGGGAAACGGTTACCGTGGGTGTGTAACCGTCCGCTCGGGGACGATCGACTGCGTGGGCGTCGCGGCGGCCGTTAGAGGCGCGCCGAGAAGCGCCATTGTCGCGTCGGCCGCCACGTGAATCGCGGAGTGGACTTGTTCTCCGGGGAGGAGATCGAGGGACCGCGCGTCGCGTCCGTCCGAATGGACGTGCTCCGCCGCTCGTCAGGCACGTCCCCCGCGGGCAGGCCAGGATCCAGTTAACGAAGCGGCGACACACTCCGGCGGTTGGGATGACGCATCGCCTCGTCGCGGTGTCCGCGGGATAACGGGCCGGAAATCTCGATAGACGTCGAGCAGCGGTGGCGGCGGCGGCGGCGGTGGCGGCGGCAGCGGCAGCGGCGGCGAGAATCGAGCCGCGAAAGTGGAGTCCTATTTATCAGCGACGGCAACCCAGTGACCCGTTTTCGTTTTCAATCGATGCGGCACCAAAGAGTTTCCAAGGATCGGAGGGACAGAAGGGCGCAGCCATTATCTAGCAACGGAGTCCAACCGACGTGGCCGAGCAGCCTCGCGCGTGGCTGAAATCGCGATAACGGCGGCCGGAGGGCGAGCGGGCAGTGAGATCGAGGATATCGCCACCGGTGTGATCGTCCGATGGTGCATTCGGGCAGCGCAGCGCGTGAGGCCGGGCTGCAAGAGAGAATGCGAGAGCCTCCTCACAGCCTGTGAACATGATTTGTCATACACATGCGACGGGCGGTAATCGTACGACGAGAGACACCGACGACGACGACGACGACGACGAGGAGGAAGAGGAGGAGGACGACGACGACGACGACGACGACGACGACGACGACGACGACGGTGACGGCGACGGCGACGGCGACGGCGACGAGGACGGCGACGGCGACAAGGACGGCGACGACGACGACAACGAAGACGACAAGGAGGAGGAGGACGACGACACCCGACTCCGCGGCCATGCCACGAGCACGCCGTGCGCTCGCATGAGACCAGCCCGACTACTGCCCGATTGCTCTTCCACGCAACAGCAGCAACAGCAGCAGCAGCAAAGGCTGCAGGGACAGAAACTCGTATCGCGCGAGACATCGACCGGCGCGAAATCTAAGGACGTCTACCGCCTTCCCTTATCGTTGTCCCGTGTAAAGGAGGCCACACGGGCGAAGTCATCGACCACGACGACGGAGGAGGCCCCGCGTCCCGATTGGCGCGACCCGCGAGTGCAACGTACCGCGAGTGCCACCGTGCCGACGACGACGACGACGACAACGACGACGACGACGTCGACGGTGGTACCGTCGCGGCAGCAACGACGACGACGACGACGACGACAAAAACAACAACAACAACAACCACGACAACGTAGCCCCGGTGGTGCGCTCGCGTTCCCGCGTCGGTGCGGTGCGGTGGTGCGGTCAACGGGTGTCGGATGACTTCCCCAGGACGACAGACGTGCTTCGTAGTCGTAGAAGGTTATCGCACATCGTCCCGATCGTTATATCCCGCAGCGCGTGCCGTCGCGGAGGTGGCGCGTCGTCTAGGGTGCAGGCCGAACGGAGCGACAGCGGTAACGGTGTCCCGGCGACGTCGACGTCGTCGGTGGTGCGCCGGCCCGCCTACCCGCGTCATACCCGCGTCGCGTACCCCGTGCACGTCGCGCGTACGCCACCGCCACCGCCGTGATGGCGGAGCTACCTCAGCCTGACATGTCGCACCTCACCCCCGAGGAGAGGCGCATCATAGAGGGTGTTTTAATGCGCCAAAAGGAGGAGGAGGAGCAGGATCATGAGATTATGAGGTAGGCGACCGTGTCTTCACGCTGTACACCCCTCGACGTTCCGCACCGAGGAAACTCGTCGCCGCGGAAGGATCGATTTTCAGCCCTTTGTTTCAACTCAAATCTATTCCCTAGTTATTTCACTATTGCTTCTTTTTTTTTAGTTTTAACAGATACGCTCACTTGGAATATTATAAAAATATTATAAAACAACCACTTGTAGAAGTACAAGCTGATTCCTCTTCTGTATAAACTTGTTAAATGTCAGCTACGTCAGTCGACCTCTCGGGTACGGAATTTTCCCTCGATCACCGCCGCGGACACGTGGAAACTCTTGTCGAGACGGGAGTTAAATGAAAATAGTAAATTAAGTGGGACTTTAGATGATTTACTTTTTATATTTATTTTCGTTCCGGTTTATGCGAGATTTTTTTACGTGCAGAGTACGTTCACTTGGAAAGTAGCATCGAAATTAAACTCGAGTTGTCGTCGCGGTGTGAATAACATTCGAAATATGCGAAATACGTTGAAAACGAAAAAGGGGAAAGCGAGGGGTGAACCGCATCGTGGTGTACAGATTTGGGGCATTACTAGGCACTTTTTGGGCATCAGTTTGGGCACTGTATAAAGATAAGACAAGATGAATGAGATAATAAGATAAAGTAATGCCCACTGGGCATCGTGTATGATTTTGGTCAGCGGTTTACCTCTCGGGAGAAATTAATAAAAGGCCCTGCCGACGAGTTAATTGGCGAGATATAATCTCGCAATATGAAAGAGAAAAATAATACAACGCAGGTTATTTATTTATTCTGTAATATTCCAAAATTTGCACCTAAGACAAAATGCAAGTCCGAGGGAAAAACCGCTGAGGGCATTGTGGCGTACAGATTTGCGGCATTACTGGGCATTAGTTTGGGCATTAGGCCTTGCTGGGGCATTATAAAGATAAAATAAGATAAAATAAGATAATAAGATAAAGCAGTGCCCACT